GTGGATTCCTGAGCCCGCGGGCTCGAGACCCACCTGGGCAGGCGAGACCTCATCTCTACAATAAATCAAAAAATCAGCCGGGCGTGGTAGCACATGCCTGCAATTCCGGCTACTCGGAAGGATCGCCGGAGCCCAGCAGGTCGAGGCTGCGGTGGCTGGGAGCGGCCACCGCACTCCAGTCTGGGCGACAGGGTGAGACTCCAACTCAAAAAAAAAAAGACTACTCTAGCAGTGTGGAAAAAGTTCCACGATATAATGTTAAATGAAAACCAAAGAATAGGAAATAGAATATCTGCTGTGGTTTCAAACATTTAAGTATGCATGTGTATATAAGGGATTTAAAAACATGAAAATAGTTGTGCATGGGTAGAATTAAGAATGGTTTTGAAATTATCTTCCAACAGTATTTACTCTGGGCATATTATGTTTTCATTTTTAAAAAGTGTTCTAAGGTTTCCCAGAATTAGTTTGAAATTGAATGAGGCAAGAGTACAGATAGAAGTCTTGTTTGCTCTGGAAGTATTTTAATTGGGGCACGTCTAAGTAAGAACCTTGTATTAGCACGACTACAAATTCTATATTTTAAGAGAGATGAAAGTCATGTTGATCCTGGTGCTGAGAACAACAGTTGTACAGTATTGGCTGTGAATATGAAAATGATGATAAGTTTACCATATGTTCATACTTGAGTTATCACATTCGGATTTGGTATGTGGCTATATTTTTTAAGATTGACTAAAATAAAATGTACTGATCTATCTTACTTCAACTACATTTCCTTATGTACCCAAAAGATGATAACTAGTGATACAAAATGTAATCTGGTATCCCTTAAATAAAGTAGAGAAAATTCTCTAAAGATCTGTAACTGCTCCCAGAGAGGGTCTTCGGGGAGCTTAGACTCAAAATCCATGGTTACTGTGTTCCTCTGAGAATGTTTTCATGGAACGGCCAAAGCATGGCAACAGAAAGGGAGAAGACATTTGCAAACTACCCATCTAACAAAGGATTGATAACCAGAATGTATAAGGAGTTCAAATAACTCAATAATAATAATAATAATTAGATTTTTAAATGGGCAAAATATCTGAATAGACATTTCTCAAAAGACATGCAACTGGCCAACAGGTGTATCAAAAAGTGCTCAACCTTACTAATCATCAGAGACATGCAAGTCAAAACTACAATAAGATGTAATTTCACCCCAGTAAAAAATGGGTTTTTATCCAAAAAAATAGGCAATAACAAATGCTGGCAAGGATGTGGAGAAAGGGGAACGCTCTTACACTCTTGGTGGGAATGTAAATTAGCACAGCCACTATGGACAACAGTATGGTGCTTCTTCAAAAAGTCATAAATAGAACCACCATATGATCCAACAATCCCACTGATAGGTACATATTCAAAAGAAAGGAAATTAGTATATCAAAGAGAGATCTACACTCCCATGCTTATTGCAGCACTATTCACGATAGCCAGCGTAAGTGTCCACCAATGAAAGGATAAAGTAAACATGGTATAAATACACAGTGGAATATTATTCAGTCTCAAAAAAAAGCATGAAATTCTGTCATTTGCAACAACATGAATGGAACTGGAAGACATTCTGCTAAGTGAAATAACCTAAGCACAGAAAGATAACAATTGCACATTCCCATTCATATGTAGGAGGTAAAAAACAAAAATGAGCTTATGGAGATAGAGAACAGAATAATAGTTACCAGAGGCTGGAAAGGGTAGTGGGAAGGAGGAGACAAAGAAGGAATGGTTAATGGGTACAAAAATACAGTTAGGCAGAGGGAAAAAGATCTAGTGTTCTGTAGCACAATAGGGAAGTATAATTTGTTGTATATTTCAAAATAACTAGAAGAGTGAAATTAAAATGTTCCTAACACACACACAAATAAATGTTTGAGGTTATAGAGATTCCAATACCCTGATTTGATCATTACACACTGTATGCCTGTATCAAAATATTACACTTATCCCATAAATATATACAACAATTGAGTACCCATAATAATTACAAATTTAAAAACACACCCAACCCATGACCAATTTATTCCCGTACAAGGCTGATTCAGAATTTCTAGGCACTCAGTAATCACTCTCTCATCAAAGGCATAGTTGGGGCTGTCTTTGTGATGAACACAGATGTCCTGAATACCTTGCATTCTTCTCTCTAGCATCTCACTTCTAGTGGAGCAAAATCTAGCCGTCAGAAAGCTTTCTGAATTTGGGTTATCAAGTTAAGCAAGAGCTCAATTGTGTTTACCCAGATTTTCTCTTTCATTATTTCTTCTTTTTTTTTTCTCCTTTCTTTCTTTTTTTAATTAATCAAAGCAGTAAAAGTACATTATATAATGAACAGGCTCCATTGGATAGTCAGCCAACAATTCTGTTGCAATAAAACACTGTTGAAAATGTTCAAGTTGCTTTGAAAAACACATTACTCAGAGGTGAAATAAAGCAGCTAGTCAGCCAGCCGGCAATGAGTTAAGTTTTGACTATGAAAGGGAAGAAAGGGAGGCATCCCACACTTTTTTTTTTCCAGTCTCCTAGTTACTGCTTCTTTTGAATAGCCCTAGTTTTGTCTTGGCCATGGTCTGGTTGCTTTGTGATTGTTTTGAAAAGAGTATAGTAGTTAAGATAAATGTTTCTGGAGCCAGAGTTTCCAATCCTGGCTCCTCGGTAACCTCCTATGAGTTGCTTGACTGTTTAATACCTCAGTTTTTGGGGGAAACAAAATAGTGATAAAACTTTGTGGTGTTATTGGGAGGCTAATAGGAATTAATATAGATTACCTGACACATAATCCATGCTCATAAATAGGAACTCATATTTCTCTTTCCTCAAAGATGCTTTTAAGGTAACGGAACACTCTCTCACACATTATTGCCTTATTAAACCCTCTAGAGAGTACTGTAATCAGTGCAGAGAATGGGGAAGTGGTTTGCTACAGGTCACATGGGTCTCAATGTTCTCTTGCTACACCATCAGCCATGTTTACACAAACCAGAGCTCCAGCTGTCTTTATGCATATATAATATAAACACAGTGCAAAATTCATAAGGTGCACAAAAGGTAAATGGTACAAAGTAGGGCTTTCTCCTACCTCTGTCCCCCAGAACTCAGTTTCCCTCCCCATTGTTGAATCTTTTTCATGTGAATATTCAAATGTAGTGATTTGCTTGTGGCAAGCCATATTCTACAGTAATTGGATATAATATGATACTTTAGACTAGAAACAATATCGATTGTATGTTTAAGTCTGGGGTCAGAATGGGAAACAGAAAGGGGTTAATATAGAGGATGAGGTGCTTTCAAGGAAAGAGCTGGAGAAGTAGACACTGTCCAGGGCCTCCAGGAAGCTTCTAGAACACTTCCCCAAAACTAACCCACTACCTGAGAAGCTGTGTCTGCCCAGTTCGGGAAGCTACTGCTCCACACCCAGAAGCTGGAGTGTGAACCAGCTGGGAGAGTCCAGCCACTGCCTTCATAGCAATTGTTTTTTCACTTTCCCAAAGCTGGAAATGAGACCGTGGCATTCTACTGCAGAGAGATACCACATCTTCACAACACTGCTTGCCAGTAGGAAAGGTCAACATAGCAGGAAATGGCCTTGCCTCATTTCCATTTTCCAAATCCCAAGCAAATGCATCCCATCGAAGGACTCTAATTCACGTCCAGAACTCTAGTTGCAGGGGACTCTGGGAAGCTTGGCTTGCAAGCCTGTGCGGTAGGAAGGCCCAAGAAGGGAGATAGGAGATGGTGCCCAACTAACATGACCAGCACAGTACCTTTGATGTTTTTTGTTTTGAAGTTATTTTAATTTTTTTTCCATCCCCTCATAAGCCATGGCATTCTTTGATTTTTAAAGAAAAGCATATCTGTATATATATTGGCTTATGCTTGCCATTTCTTTTTACTTTTTTTTTTTGTTTTTTTTTTTTGAGTTGGAGTCTCACTCTGTCGCCCAGACTGGAGTGCAGCGGCCACTCCCGGCCACCGCAGCCTCGACCTGCTGGGCTCCTGCGATCTTCCCCCTCAGCCTTCCAAGTAGCTGGAACTACAGGCGCACGCTATCACGCCTGGCTGATTTTTTTTTTTTGGTAGAGATGAGGGCTCACCAAGTTGCCCAGGTGGGTCTCGAACCCGTGGGCTCAGGCAATCCACTCACCTCCCAAAGCACGGGATTACAGGCTGAGCCACCGAGCCCGGCTTCTTTTTACTTTTTCACTAGTCTTATTTTCTTCCCTAAATAGTTCAGCAGAAACTTATGGATAGTCCTTCTCCTGTGCCAATTTTCTTTTTTTTTTTTTCTGAGTCGGAGTCTCACTCTGTCATTTTTTTTTTTTTTTCTGAGTCGGAGTCTCACTCCAGGTTGGAGTGCAGTGGCACAATCATGGCTACCATGGGTTCAACCTGCTGGGCTGAGGTGATTCTTCTGCCTCCGCCTTTCAGTAGCAGGAACTACAGACACAGGCCACCACGTCCCACTAATTTTTTTGATATATTGTAGAGAAGAGGTCTGTCCATGTGGCCCAGGCTGGTCTCAAACTCCAGGTCTCAGGCAATCCTCTCGCCTCAGCCTCCCGTGCTGGGATTACTGGCATCGGTCACTGTGCCCAGTTTGCAATGTCAATTCTCTTATGGTGATTTCTTTCAAGATGGACTTTGTGGTACTAGATCGCTCACTCATGGAAATACATATAAACTTGCAAGATGAACCTTCACTCTAGAATTATTTTTCAGATTCCCATCCATCATGACCGCCATCCGACTCCGAGAATTTATTGAGCGCCGCCCAGTGATCCCACCCAGGTAATGTTCTTCCAGATGCAGAGCCTCCTAGAGCTGAGGCCAGGCAGACAGGCACCTTGAGGAATTAGAATTGCTGCTCAGTGATGGAGAGACAACTACCAGGGGGTCTAGTGAAGTCTCTTTGGTCTTAGAGAAAGTTGTGAAAATAGAAATCCCATACTTACGGCAGAATCCAAGAAAGCCGACAACTGCAAGTTCCCCAAAGATCAGAAAGATATTGGTTTTTGCTTGGGAAGGGCTTTAGCAAGAAGTATGGGGACCCAAGTCCACAGTTTGGATGGGACACCTTTACTCTGCCTGGGGTAAAACTAACACTGCTCCCACGCTTCTGCAATGTGGGAACTGACACAGACAGATACAGATACAGACAGAAACCAACGATGAGTTTCACTTGTTCTCCAAGTTCATCTACAACATAAGAATAACAAGCTCCAGACATGTTTTATTGTCCTAAAACCAATATCAGATGAACAATCTGTAAATTGGAGCCCCACTCAGTATGGGGTCTTCAGAGATGCAGAAGCTGTGAAACTGGGGAGCAACCCTCATGCTGTGATTTTGGTGTCAGCTCCTGCAGTCCCATTGGCTTCATGGATTTGAACAAAGCTCATATTTATTTGAGCATTTAGTTATTTTAGCAGTGTTTGGTCAACAAAGAGAAGTAATCTTTTACTCCCCGAAACTACTGAAGGAAGAGTGAGTGGAAGGATGCTTCCTTCCTGGATACCTTAAGAATCCTCTTTTCAGAGAACATGCAGAGGCTGCCCTTCCCTCCCTGAAACCAGAAAGAGGGGAGAGGGGAGGGGGGGAGGAGAGAGGGGAGAGGAGCAGGGGCTGGTCCCAGTATTGCCTGATCCCTCCCTCCCCACAAGCCCTTGCCCCTTCTGTGCATGTTTGAGATGTTTTGTCCACCATGGGGCCTATTTAACTGTGGCTTCATCTGGAGAAATTGAAAAATCTTCCTTGGATGCTCCCTCCTGGTGCACCGTGGAGACAAATCAGTTGCTGGGCCTGGCTTGGGCCAGCCTCACAGGGAGTCTGGGGCTTTGGGTGGGACAGGATGCAGCAGGCCTTGGGGCCCCCTGGAGGCCTAAGGCTGGGCTGTCTTCAGCTCTCTGGGGCTGTCCTCAGAGCTGCCCTCGGGAAGGCTGGCTCTCCCTATGCCTGAATTAGTCTTGGCGCCCCACCGTCCGGCCCTAACTGCTCACTGTAGGGCAGCTCTTGATGCCTTTCCTGACTTTGCCAACAATAGGGGAGCCTGATCCATCAGCAAGTTGCATGCGTTCTCTCTCCAAACTAGACTTCTCGTGGGAGGGCTTTTCTCCAACCCCCTGCCTTCCCTTGGTCCAGCTCCCCATTACCTCTCGCTGTGCATCAACACCCCCCACTTTTGTTCTCTGACAATCTGTTTTCCTGACTGAGCCTCATAAAATGTAGATCGGATCACAGCCCTCCATTGCATTGTATTTAGCAGAAAACCCAAACCCGCAGCCCGAGGCCAACAAAGCCCTGCAAGGACTGCCCCCTGCCCACCTCTCCGACCTTCTCCTAGCTCCAGCCCTTGACCATGGCCTCTTTCATGCCTCAGGGCTTCTGGCTATGGCTTCCTTCTCCCTGGACTGCCCCTTCTCCCCTTCCCCAGCAGCCCCCATCACCCAGTATGTCTCAGCTCTGCCAGCAACTGCTCGGAAAGTCGGTCCTTCACCACCCTGTCTAGAGGAGATCTTCTTCTGCCTCCTTTTCCACCAGTTGTTCCGTACCTCACATCCTTTTTCATTGCCTATATAGTCTTTATCATAACTTCCCATCATTTGTGTCTATGTCTTTATTTCCTGTCTCTCTCACCTACTGGAATGATAATGGTTAATGCTTCTGTAACTCTGGGTGCCAAACACTGTTCTAAGTGCATACTCACTGATAAAAAAAAAAAAAAAAATATATATATATATATACATATATATGTGTATATACACACACACACACACACATATATACACATAAATAGGGAAAGAGAGAGAGGGAGAGATCGGAGTCTCATTCTGTTGCCCAGGCTCAAGTGCAGTGGCGTGAGCATGGCTCACTATAGCCTCGAACTGCTGAGCTCAGCCACTCCTTCTACCTCAGCCTTCCAAGTAGCTAGGATTATAGGTGCACATCACCATGCCCAGCTAATTTTTCAATTGTCTGTAGAGTTGATGAGGTCTTGCTATGCTGCTCGGCTGGTCTCGAACTCCTGGGCTCAGACAATTCTCTCGCCTCAGCTTCCCAAAGTGCTGGGGTTACAGTCGTGAACCACCATGCCTGATCATATCACTCATTTACTCTTCAAAACTGTGAGTTCCAGATGAGGAAACCAAGTGAACAGTGTGGTGAAAGGACTGTTTTAGGTCCCACGGCTGGTGGTCGGCACTGGCAAAAGAGGGACTTGAGCCCATAGGTATGGCACCACCCCCATCTGTGCTTGTGGTCACAGTACTTTGCTGTACCTTCAGGTTGGCTTCCGGGGATAGGGCTTGCCTGTCTTTCTCTGCGAGTCACTATCTCACCGTCTGCTTCACAGACTGGCATTTGTGGTTGGCCCTCTAAGCACAGTTGTTGAATACATTAAAATGAACGAGTGAACAAAGTCATTCTGTCATTTATGTGTGGTTTGGGATCCTGGAGACTGATGGTACTTGGGCCTATCCTTCTGCAGTTCTGCACATTCATCCAGTTCATCCTTAAATGCCCAACCCTAGCCAGTGCTTTGTTAAACTCTGGTGTGTCCATGTGGGTCTTGGAGCTATGGCCACCACGTTTCCTAGCTTTGGCCCCTTCCCCTACCTTGGGGAGGTGACTATCCTCTCTCTTCTCTCTAATTTATTTTCTAAATAGCTATATTTTCCAATCTAAAAAAAAAGCCCAGCCCTCAGGGCTATCTTAGGTAAAATTGAATTGCAAACTAACGGACACAGCTAATAAAAGTAAATAGTAAATAGGTCACAAGTAGTAGTGACTGCACAAAATTCTCATACTAGTAATCATCTTAGATGCAAGTGTTAATAATCATTAAATTCAAGTTCCAGACTGAGAGCCTGTCACTTGGGGTGGGGCTGAGTGTTGCATTTGTTTTGGAACCCAGGATACTCCTGAAAAGATCACTTCAAGTAGATTAAATTCAGTGCGCTATGGAAGACAAAAGGCACAGAATTTGTGTCTGATTTAAATGGATTCTAGAAACTTCGACTGGAAGTCTTTGAAAGATCCAGAATCAACTATGGGGTCAGCCCATCCTGCCTAGAATGGTACTGACACTTAGATGGGGTTTGGTAGTATCCAAATGCAAATGTCTCATTTACTCTCATGTAAATCATTAATTTAGATGATGGTAAATCATTAATGAAGATGATGATATCGTTCCCATTTTACTGAGGAGGAAACTGAGGCTCTCCGCTTTCTTGAGGAGATATTTTGGAGCCAGTAGGGAGATGAGGCACCAGCCTGGTGGTCTCCCAGCTCTGCCTTTACCCCATCTTATATACTTACTAGCTCGTGTCCTTAGCTAAGTTTCTTATTCCCTGGAGCCTCAGTTCCTTAACTGGTATAGCACTCACCACATTGTCTTAGTTGCTTGCCTCAATGTGGTTTTCAGATTATGAACTCTTGGGTGGAAAGACAATATTATTAACAATATTATTATTAACAGAATCCCAAGCACATAGCACTCCACAGACACAACTGAGTGTGCAGTAAGTACTTTGTATTGAGTCAAAAGCATCTTCCAGCTGACATTGCTGTGTTTTTACAGCTTTTCTTGTTTTTTGGTACACAATGTCTACTTGCTATCCACCCATAAGTGGGAGAATCACAGAGTTTATATAAAAATAGCATGGAACTCTTCCAAAAAAAAAAAAACAACATACATATGGATAACTTTGAATGCAACATGGAGTTTAGAGACCTGGGTTTGATCCATGGTTCTGATATTCACCAGCCGGGTGATATTTAGAAAGTCCACTTTAACCTGAGCCTCAGGCTGAGCCTCAGCCTGGTCTTTAAAACAGTTAATGATGTTTACCTTGCAAGGTGACCGTGAGGATTCAATGAACTCATCTCTATAAAAATGCTTTGTAAAGTGTGAGGCACAGCATAGACACAACAGGGAAGAGCACTGTCCCTACCTCAGGCAGGGATGAACACGCCTGTCCTGTCCTGTACATATTGAATTTGGTCTGCAGCTAAATCCAGATCCTGCTCTGGTTACAGTCACCATCCCAGGGGACAGGTTTGCTCTCCTATGGACTGAACACATCACCTCAGAAAGCCAAGCTGTCGGTGACTTGTAAATAATGCATGGTGGTATCAGACGCAGCTGGGCTGCCTGCTCCCTCCCAAGAAAGAAAGGGCTTTCTACAAGCTGCTTCTGGAATCTCGAAAACCAAGTCAGTAGAATCAGTCTGGTCTGGGCAGGGCCCTAGGTACACTGGGCGCCATAGCCGAGTCTGGAGAGTTCGCGTGTGTTTTTGTCATCGTTCGAGGCCAGTTGCCGCACAGCCTCTGGTCAGGCCAGGCCTGTCCCTTTAGAAGGTAAAAACCCTCTTCTCCACTTCCCCCTCCAGCTGGGCTTCCCTCCACACCCACCTTCTTACACACACTTTCCTCCTCTCTCTCTACTCCTGCCAAAACCAGCCAACAGCCACTCCCAAAAGGCTGTGGGCAGAGTGTCACTGGTGCTGGTAAAGGGCTTCTGCATTCTCAAAAGAGCTTTTACAGATGCTTCTAAGGAGTTTACTCACCTGTATTCAGCAGGTGTTTGTTGTATGCATGCCAGTGAAGAATCCACGTTCAAAACCCAGTCTGCGGCCAGTAACACGGCAACTATGAGAAACCAGAGTGTCCTTCTGGAACTCGGGGGGATTCTTAACAGACTATAACATGGCCCTGGGGTAATATTCCAAGATGGTGCTTCAGAAACTAGTTGGGTGCCTAAGAAAGCTGTCTCCTACCCTCATGCACTCAGAAATGTCATTTGTTCCCCTCATTGTGCCAATTCCCCTCTCTCCCTATGACTTAATCCTTGCTTTCATTTACTTTTCAGGGCTTGGTCATATCCCAGCCACTGGGCAGGCCCAGACAGCCTGTGGGTTTTTCTGAAGATCAGAGCTCCCAGAGGTTCTGTTTGCACAGAGACAGAACCTGCCCTGCTTGCCCTTCAGACTAGACAGCCAAGGCCCACTCTGGCCCCCCGACACTACTCGGAGCCCAAGTCTGTCCAAGTCTGTAATTCCCCTCACCCGAACGCTTCCCCATTCTATTTGCCTGCCCAAAGTCTCGATACCTCTCCCTCTTCTGCGCCCCATTGACCTTTGATGGATCACTATTTCAGCACCTTATGTTAGGAGAACTTTGAGGGAGGCCTGCAAGTACCATAAACTCAGGTCTGGTGGCAAGGGCTTGTTATGAATAACAAAAGACACTCCTACAGGGAAATGTCATGGTTTTCAGGAGCTCAGTGCCAGAAAATGGGGACAAAGACCAAACATACTTTTTATTATCCCCCAGCTGGTATTCTTCTGAAAAGAATGAATTATCGAGTTGTTGTAACTGCTTTTTGCTCCCTTCCTCCACTAGTATATTCATTGCTCACCAAGGAAGAGACCTACAAGGCTATTATCCTGGGCAGCTGGCAAGACTTCATTTGGATTATGGTGCAAAGAGAGCTCCTAGGTGAGACACAGTCCTAAATCTGGATTTCCGTGCATGCCACTAAAGTTAGAATGTTAAATGAAAAAAGAAAAAAACAAAACTGGATACATATTTTGTAATAATACTAATGATAGCAATAATAAGTATTAATGGATGAAAAGATTTAGAAGGAAATACAGCAAACTGTTAATAATGGCTTTTTTAAAGGAGTGATGGGATAATTGATATTTTGTATTTTATTCTTTAATCTTTTTCTCTGTGTTCCAGAGTTTCTCTAATGAGCATGTATTATTTTAAAATCAGCAATAAGTGCATAATTGTATTAAATCATCAATGAAATTTAAGAAACACCATGAGTTTAGAACTTCAACTTGATCCAATAACTTAAACCTTATCGAGACTCAGTTTCTTTCTCAAATTATGAATTTAGCCTAAATGGTTTCTGCCCTTCCGGGTGTGGTTTTAACAAAAAGAAAGTAAAAAGCCATAGGCACTTTAACCTTATTTTCTAGTTAGGAGAGGCTAAACACCAGAGTAGTTAAAAGCAGCGATTAGAGTAACTTATGAAATGTTTGACCTTGGGCAACTTTCATTTATTCTCTGAGTGTTGGTTGCTTTATCTATTAAATAAAATAATTGATGTAAAATTCCAAAACATAGTAAGTACTCAACATATGATTGATACTATTTGAGTTCATCATCAAGTCTATTTCACAAATGTCTCTAAATTGCCTTTGATAGTCAACTCCTGATTATCTTCCATGCAGAGAAGGAAGTCACATCTACGATTTAGAACAGCATATAGTCTAAATGTAATAGATATCAAACGAAGTAGTCTAAGGGTCATTCTGATTAAATTAGATGAAGGAAATGTAGCCCAGAGAAGTGACACAGTCAGTTGGCATAAAAGTTGGGCTTGAATCTATTCACATTTTTTCTTTTTCTTTTTTTTTTTTGAGTTGGAGTCTCACTCTGTCGCCCAGACTGGAGTGCAGTGGCTGCTCCCGGCCACCGCAGCCTCGACCTGCTGGGCTCCGGCGATCCTTCCGCCTCAGCCTTCCGAGCAGCTGGAACTACAGGCGCGCGCTACCACGCCTGGCTCATTTTTTGAAGTATGGTAGAGATGAGGTCTCGCCTGCCCAGGCGGGTCTCGAACCCGCGGGCTCAGGCAATCCACTCATTTCAGCCTCCCAAAGCATGGAATTACAGGCTGAGCCACCGAGCCCGGCCATTCACATTTTCTAGTTCCTAGTTGAAGGCTCTTTTTTCTAGCTCAAATCCATACTGTATTAAACTATTAGGGCTATGCTCTCTGCCAGAGGATAGACAAGAAAGGAAATGACAGAACTCCACTGCCAGAGCTGTTCATGGTCCAACTCCACAGGTATGCCCTCTACGTTGTCTTCTGTGTGGACTCTGATAATTTCCCCACTACTGACCAACCCTCCAATCCACCACTCCCCAAATATCAGTCCTCCCACCAGAGGATGACTCAATTACAGGGAACCTTGACTTTCTCAATACTTGTGCCTGTCCAACATTGTTCTTAAGAAGAAAACCAAATGCAAATGTCAATCTATGAGCTTATTAAGGTTCTAGTTAAGAAATAAGAAGAGGCCGGGCACGGTGGCTCAAGCCTGTAATCCCAGCACTTTGGGAGGCTGAGGTGAACCCTGAGCCCATGGGTTCAAGAACAGTTTGAGCAACTTGAGACCTCATCTCTACAATAACTCAGAAAATTAGCTGGGCATGGTAGCTCACGCCTGTGATTCCGGCTGCTTGGAAGGCTGAGGCGGAAGGATTGCCTGAAGCCAGTGGATCGATGCTGGGGTGGCCAAGTGTGCCACTGTACTCCAGCCTGGGCGACAGAGTGAGACTCCAACTCAAAAAAAGAAAAAAAAAAAAAAAAAGAATAAGAAGAAAAAAAACAAAGCTAAACATGACCAAAACCAGGAAATAATGAAGTTCTCAGGACCAGACCTAAGTTTAGTTCTTGTCGTTATAGTATAACTCGGTAGGAATCTAATAGCTTACCTTCCCCAGATATATTCCTCCACCAGCTTGAGGTTTTCAGGGTTAGGGTCCTTCCATTGAGTGAGAGTCTTGTCTTTAGAAGGGCGCTGATGTATTATTTGAAAAGGGAGATTATTCTGGTTCTACAGAAATACCCCCGGCAAAGGCACAGGCAGGCTGGCAGTTCAGCCGGGGTATATCTAAGGGTAGTCACCAGGGGTCTGGTTCAGAAGTCAGAGCCAGCAGTGGCACAGAAGTGATCAGATTGACAGTGACGGGCACACAGAACCCAAACTCAGAAGAGACTGACACATCCACAAGACAGTTAATGTTTTGATTGACCTTGGGAACATACTTTTGTAGGAAAAGGAGTTCTGCCCATCATCTAAGGCACCCGCTTTACAAGGTACCTGTTAAGCACGAAATAAGAATGAGTAGAGATGGGTGGAAAATATATATATATTTTAATCTCAAAAGCCCCAGAACATGGGTGGGTATTCCTGATGCTTCTCCCGGTCTAGCCACAACAGAGCACATCTCCACCTAGCCAGCATCTCTCCCTGCTCAGTATCCCACAAGCATGGTCAGATTCTCCCTCTTGCTTTTTCTGGACTTAAGGCAGAGCCCCTCTATTTCTGCTAACACACTCTCTTAAAGGAGGCACATTATGGTCAAGTTTTTACCACATCAGGCAAACATAACTGATTTTTAGGAGGCAATTTTAGATCTCTTCAAGTGTGATTAGGTCACAGAGATATAATCATACAAGGCTACATCTTACTCACTCTAATTGGATTTAGAGTACCCAAAGCTCAGTCAATACTTAATATTTTTCACTCAGCAGCTCTCATCTCATCTATTTTATGGTTTAAAAACATGTGTTTACTAGAACATGTAGGAAACATTAATAATCAAAAAACGATTGAAAATTATCCACGATGCCATCACCCAGAGATAATGGTGCTGAATCCTCCAGATTGCTACCAACATAGAGAGCATAGTATTTTGAACCTTTTTTTTTTTTTTTTTGGTAACAGCTTTATTGAAATAATTTACATCCCAAACAATTCATCCATTTAAAGTGCATAATTCCATGGAAACCTTTACTTAAACTTAATATATTGTGGACTTTTTTCCATTTCAATGCAGTTATAATTCTGCAGCGCCACTTTTTATTTATTTAAGTGTGTAACACTCCATGAATTTGTGTGTCATCTTTGTGCAGGGGTGATGCTGATCTTCTCCGTATTGTTCCAATTTTAGCATATGTACTGCTGAAGCAAGTACCACAGCATTATTTTAAATGATGGCATGGTATTCCTACATATGTATCATTGTCTAAATAATTCTCTCTCTTTTTTTTTTTTAACATAAAAGTTGTTTCCACCCTTTTCGTTATCATAAAAATGCTTTGGCAAGCATCCTCAGAGATTAAGTCTTTGTTGACATCCCTCATTGTTGGAATTGCTGAGATAAAATATATGCACATTTTCAAGGTTTTTAATACATATCACATGCACTAGTGAACATATGTTTATACCCATATCTCAAACAAGTTGTCCCAGTGAATGTATACTCCAAGTGTATGATGACATTTTGCCATTACACTTTGGCTCTTTACCTTTTTCTTCCAAGGGTCCCTATCTGACTGGGGATACAGGGAGGTTATAACTGATTTCAGGCCCATCAAACCTCTACATGCACCATAGTGGTAAGTCTGGTGAAAAGAACGTACTGTTTTTTTTAAGGAACCAAAGATCCGTAGAAAGATTACAAAGGAAGGGCACCAGGGAGATCTGGAGTTTGGGAAGTAGCCATGCATGGGCAGGTTTGGTGGATGTTTTGAGGCAGGTTGCCTTCTATGACCTGGGATTAGAAAGGAAGATGGATGCTGAAGGGAAAACAGGAGCCTGAAAGCCCTGATGAGTCATTCATTGCAACTTTGCTAGTGCAGGCCTGGGAGCTATGGGAGTCCTGCCAACGTCAATCTCATGGCTACTTTGGGAATGGATTCCAGCTGATGGGAAAATGAACTGCTTTTTTCTACTGGGTGTTCAGCAAATGATTTCTACTTCCATTTAGACCACTCATAGACTTGACGATTCCACCCAAGAGAAAAAGTCAGTACCAGCCTCAATTAGACCAACAGACGCTCATTCAGTGTATTTGTTTCCGAAGATATTTAAAACCTGCTGAACCATGGTATAAAGAAACCACTTACCAAAGAGACTATTCTCTGCCATTTTACAAGATTGGTAAGTAAGGCCAACTATTCTTAACTCTCCAAGATTCACCTTGCCTGGGCCACACATCAACATCCCCAATGGGCTTACCATCTCAGGGAGCACATTTGGGACCAGTCAAGGTAGGGGCATAGATAATTGTGTGTAGGGGGGTGTTGGAAGAATTTAGAAGACTACCCATGTTTTCTCCCTTCCAAGCTACCTGTATATGAGACTTTATAAATGAAAATACACAAATGGTCTTGGTAAGAAGCAGTTTCAAGCCTACCCACTCTTTTTTTCTTTTAAATTAGAGGCAGGGTCTCACTGTGTGGCCCAGGCTGGTCTTGAACTCCTAGTGTAAAGTGATCCTCCTTCCCTCAGCCTCCCAAAGTGCTGGGATTACAGGTGTGAGCCACTGTACCTGGTCGACCACTCTTCACTGAGCCCCTTGTCACATGACAAAATTATTATTGTGCCTAAATATACTGTTGAGGAAACTTTTCTTATTTCTGATTTAAACTTTAAACAATTATTTGATATTTGAAGGCATGTTTCCAAAATTCCAAATTCCCTTCATATTTTTCTATGCTTTGGCAAGTGGGAGAGTATTGAAGGGGACCAAGACTCCCCAACAGACAGGACCCTGGGGAGGGACACATGAACACCAATTTAAACACTGTGTTCCTGCAGTCATTGATACTTTGCATTTTAGTGGTTTCAACGAATTACTTCATTGCTAGACTTTCTTCCTTTCTCTCTCTCTTTCTGAATTGGGGACTCACTCTGTCGCCCAGGCTGGAGTGCAGTGGCAGGATCACAGATCACTGTAGCCCCAACCTCCTGGGCTCAGGCTTTGCCTCAGTCTCCCAAATAGCTAGAACTACAGACGTGTGCCACCATACCCAGCAAATTTTTTGATTTCTTGTAGAGACAAGGTCTTGCTATGTTGCCTAGACTGGTCTCAAACTCCTGGGCTCAAATGATCCTCTAGCCTCAGCCGCCCAAAGTGCTGGGATTATAGGTGTGAGCCACCATGCCTGGCTCTTCACTGATAGACTTTCTAAGCGAGTAAACCTCAGCATTTGGAAGGGCTTTTACAGTGTGGCAGCCACATATTTAGTCCTCAAGGTAGCTCACTGAGGTAAGTACTCTTATTTTCCCAGTTTTACAGGTGGAGAAGCCACGCCAGGGACAATTCATCGACTAGTCCCACATCACACAGCTAGGCTGTAGGAGCAGAGTTCCAACCCAGGTCATTTTACTCCCAACTGGTGCTTGACTCTGAAGCTATACTGCTTCTGTCACAGCTGAGTGCCACCTGTTCTACCATTATTTAATAGCTTTCTTTAAAGCAAGCCACTTTCTTTTTACTTAAAAAAAAATACAGAATACCGGAGGAGATGGTCTGGACTGGGACCAGGGAACAGTAGTAAACACAGCAATCAGGAAAAGTGGGGACCAGGCAGGGACAGGCAGATCTGGGGAGAGTTAAGCCAAGGATAGGGGAACAATAGAAGAAGCTGGGATGGGGGCCAGGAATTCACAGCAGGGGTTTGGGATGAGAGGTTATGAGCAGGGCAGAGCTGGGTTCTGGAAACCCAGAGAAGGTTGGGGCCTGACAAAGAAGGGAGCCGAGGGAGGAGGCTGGGGAGAGGATTAAGTCATGAGGGAAGGACATATGGGAGGGAGTGCAGGGTACAGGGGCTGAGGTCCCTGAGAGGGCCTTCGGGGGCTTGTGGTAACGGAAGCCGGGAGCTAGGAAGACATAAGAGGGAGACCCAAAACACAAAACACAGAACACCGGAATTACCTTTTGGAGGGTGGGTCTCTTGTTGTATGGGCTTCCCTCAGTAGGTGAGTGATCAAGGAATCCATCAGCATCTGTACCAGCTAGTGTTGTTGTGAGAGGCTGTGCTCTGCTTCAGTGAATTTTTTTTCTTGGAGATTCTTTCAACATGCTTGCTCTTTTCATGCTGGGTGATTTACAAGCGCACCCGCCCACACCTTGGTGAGTGATCAGCAGTTTTCGAACAACCATGGCATGACCCTTGTGCCCTACTCCCCCATTCACCTGATCTCGCCTGAGTGACTTTGTAAAAATTTTCCTGGGTAAACAAAGTCCTCAAAGAGAAATGTTTTGCCTGTGTGGAAGAGGTAAAACGAAAACCAGCAGAAGCACTAAAAGACATCAAAAAGTTCAAAGACTGCTTTGAGCAGTGGAGAAAGCATCTCGATAGGTACACTGCATTAAACAGAGAGTACTTTGAAGGTGACTGAAGTTTACACATGTAAGAATGAACACACAATTTTTATAAATAAATTCCATTTTGGGGGGATCTCCCCTCATAGGTTAGGGCTAAAGGAAGTATGAGGCCCAGAGAAGAAAAAGCTGCTGGAGGTTGAGGAGGGGGTGGGAAAAAGAGGTGGTTGAGCAGTTTGTCCCTTCGAGACCAGCTGGGTGTGTGAAATGTTTCCTTTGCATGAGAGAATCCAGGTAGGCCTCTAGCTTCCCAAGTAACAGCAAACAGGATCTTCTTTCTTTTTTTTTGAGTTGGAGTCTCACTCTGTCACCCAGACTAGAGTGCAGTGGCCACTCCTGGCCACCACAGCCTCGCCCTGCTAGGCTCCGGCGATCCTTCCGCGTCAACCTTCCAAGTAGCTGGAACTAGAGGCATGCGCTACCACGCCTGGCTAATTTTTTAAATTTATTGTAGAGATGAGGTCTGGCCAAGTTGCCCAGGCAGGTCTCGAACCCGCAGGCTCAGGCAATCCACTCACCTCACCCTCCCAAAGCACAGGATTATAGGCTGAGCCACCAAGCCCAGCATAGGATCTTCTTTCAACTCCTCTGATATGAAGAAATCTTGTTAGACAGATGGACACAATAGGTGTTCTCCCTTACTTATTTTAGAAGACAGTTCCCAATTCTTCCCAATCCTATGGAACAAATGAAGGTTTAGCAGAACAATTACATATTTACCACCTATTGTGTATCTAGCATTGTGCTAGGTCCTTAGAAAGTCCAGACGATGGTTTCAGCCCTACAGGAAGTGCATAGTCCAATTGGGAAGATGCTGCATGACACAGCCACCGTTTAGGGACTGACATGAAGCAGAGGAGCAGGGGTTGAAAGACAAGCTCACTGGGGCCCAGGACAGCCAAGAGAGCAGCATGCGTGAGTGAAGAATGGAGCTGGGTCTCCATGGGTCAGATTTGCACAGTGGAGAAAATACAAGGACAGCACAGATGGGGGTACTGCAACTAGGGGCAGTGGACAGGATGGTGAGGTTTGTGAGAGCGGGGAAGACTCCAGTGATGAGGGTGCTGGCCTGACGGGGACAAAGTAGGAAGGACAAGTGGAAGACAAAATGGATTGGCAGAGTAGCAGTGTCTGGGACTGAAGAGCAACTGAAGGAGTTTGGGAAGTGGAATTTGGACTACCAGAACCATTGCGGGATCATAGTCAAGGGAGAGACCCGGTCAGCTACAGAGGATGTTAGTCTGTTGGCTCTGCTTGTGATGGGCTGGAGAAGGTGTGGACAGCAGGGGGGAGGAGTAGCTAGCTATTGTGGTGACACAGCAGGGAGGAGAGTGGAGTAGTGGACAGGATTCAGGCATCATAGCACCGCAGGCCTGGCGCATCCTAGCTACGTGGTGTTGGACAACATGCTTGGCTTCTCTGAAACTTTTTACTCCTCTAAAAAATGATGAATCAACTACCTTTAGGATAATTGTTATCAATGATCAACTCCCTTTTAGGATAGTTGTTAGGATTTAAAATACCTGTCATGTGCCTGTAACTGTGCTAAGTGACATATTCATGCAATGTGCACACACTCATCCATAGTCTCCATGGAGTAGGAATTATTATTGCTGGCTCTATTAGAAGAGGAAACATAAAAGGAAAAAAAAATTAAAAGGAAAAAAAATAAGAGGAAACAGGCTTAGAACTTTAAAAGCCTACTCAAAAAAGTAGCTGGTAAGTCATCATTCCAGGCCAAACCCAGATATGTGGCACCCCAAAGCCTATGCTTTTAAATTGAAGTAGGGAGGTTTCAGGGGAAATGGAAGGAAGATGCCTGTGACAGAGCACTCGGAGTAAAAGGGACAATGCCAACAGAAAACGCACAAGAGAGAATGAAAGATAACTCTATCACCTCTCATATCTGCAAAATTATGGTTGCCTCTCATAGAAATAATGAATTTAGGCTGAAGAGATATGGTCAAATTGAGATCTATAGAAAATTGAAAATAGTGTCCTAGAGTGCAGGCTGTGTAAGCACGCCAAGATGAGGAATAGCTTTGGCTAGTCGTCCCTTACTTAGTGAGGTTTGACATCTGACCAATCCTAGAGATAATTATATTTAAATATTCATTGCTACATTCGTTGATTGAATATATATGTTAATTATCTATTGCTAAGTAGCAAATCATTCTAAAACTTGGTGGCTAAGAACATTATTGATGCTTTTAAAAACTCTCACAGTTTCTGTGTGTTAGGCATTTGAGAACTTCTCAGTTGGGCAATTCTGGCTCAGGGTCTCTCTTGAGGTTTCAGTGAGAGGTCAATGAGGGTTGCAGTCTCACTTGAAGGTTTGACTGGGGCTGAAGGATCTACCTGCAAGGTGGCTTACTCACTGGTGTTGGCTGGGCGCTTCAGAGCTTTTCCACATGGGCCTCTCTGTAGGGCTGACTGAGTGTCCTGATGGCATGACAGTTAGCTTCCTTTAGACACAGCAATCCAAGACCAAGGTGGCCATTGCAACGCTCTTTTCGACTGAGGCTCAAAAGTGACACACTCTCACCTATGAGGTATCCTTTTAATCACACATGGATAGACCTGAAGTAGTGTGGAGAGGATTATACAGGCATGGATCCTAGGCACAAGAATCACTGGGGTGCATTCTGGAAGCTGGCAACCACAGTATGAGTCAATCATTTGTTGAGCAACCATTATGAACTAGACACTGTGCTATCTGCCAAGTACAGTGACCAGGATAAACAAGATACCTTCCACAGAGCTGATATTCTGGTGGGGGATAAAGAACATAAGCAAATACATTAAAAAAAATAGATTGTGGTAGTGCTCTATGGGAAATAAACAGGGTGATAAGGATTGCTAGAGGAAGTTACTTTAAATAGAGCAGGCATGGAAAATGTCTATGCAATTTTAGCTGAGCCCTGAAAAATATGAATGAGTCACACAGAGAGCATTTCAGGCAAAAGTAAGTGCAAAAGTTTGAAAGCTGGCACTTTGAAGGCTTGGCGTATTTGAGAAACAGAAAGGAGACCAGTGTAGTTTGGTAGGTAATGATTGAGGATGAAGGTGATCAGGTGACTGGATTTTATTCCAAGAGTAATGGGAAGACTTTGAAGGATATTGAACAGAGGAGTGACATAGTATTTGTATCTTAATGACTCATTATTTGTATGACTCTTGCTGCCGTTAAGACACTGCTTGCAGGGGAACAAGAGGGAAGGCATGCAGGCCACCTGAGGCCATTATACCAGAGATGATGTTGGCTGGGACCAGCAGGGAAGACAAAGAGGACTATATGGATCCCAGGGATATTTGGGAGGTGACTCCAATAGGACTTGGTGATAAATTTGATGTCAGACACATTTTCACTCACTCATACTTATTCCTTCAGTACATAATCTGAGAGTATCTAAGTGCTAATCAACGCACTAGGTTTTGGTAATACCATGTGAAGCAAAAATAGACACAAGGTTTCTATGCTTAATAACAACCATAAAGTTCCACCTGGCGTAAATTCTAGGAAGCAGAGTTTGTGTGCTACAGGAGCATAGGATAGGTCACAAATGGTTTCCCCGAGGAAATGATGAGCTGAGAGCTGAAGGATAAGGTAAAAGTTAACTGGGCAAGGAATGGAGAAACCGCTTCCTAGAGAGTACATCATGTGAAAAGGCCCGGAGCACAGAAATCAAGAGTGATCATAGAACAGGATGTGGCTGGAGAGACAGCAAGGTCAGAATAAGAAAGACTTTACAGACCATATTTGGGTTTTTGACCTCTCACCTGAGAATATTGGGACTGCTGAAAAGTGTTGAGGGCAAAGGTGGTGATTAAAATTTCATCTTGAAAAGATTATTCTAACAGAGAAGAAAGGAGGGCCAGGGTAGGGAGTAGAGTGTGGCCAAGATTGAATATGGAGGGTCAGGAGGCAATGGCAGTGGTTAGGTTAAGATTCTTAGCACTGGCTATATCTTTATATATATAAAAAACTTTAAAAAGCCAGATGCCCAGGCTATATATGCACAATACCAACTAAATCAGAATCTCCTGGCGGGATGGGGGCTGGGGATCTTAGGCATCAGTTTTTAAACTCCCCAGATAATTCCATTGTGCTGCCAAGTTTGAGAACCAGTGATTTAGGCAATGGACAAAAGCAGCAGCAGTAGAAAGACTGAAATGAATTTGAGATACTTAGGTGGCAAGGATTTCATTAACAACAATCAGCCAGGCCTAAGGCTGGTCTGCAAGAGGCCTAACAGAGAAACGCGACCAACCAGAGCACTGATGAAGAAATTGGGCAGGGACTGGAGCAAACATTTGCTCCAATCAAGAGACTGACTCCTGGAGGAGTCTCTGGGACAGGGTGTTTCACAGAATAAGGGAAAGGAATATTAAGTTGTCTAGCAAAGTACGGGGTTGTCTATCTTAACCATTTGGCCAGACTTTGTGATCAGATTTCAAGGGCAGAAGGTATGTCTAGATTAGCAATGATTTGCATTTCATATTCTCTTCTCTGAGATTTCTCATTAAATACAGACCATGGCAGATCATGGTTATTGCTTAAAAGATTCCTCCACAATTAAAATTATTTCTCAGCACCTACAATTTCATGTAGTTAGGAAACAGCTATTAAGCACTGGCTGTGTGTGAGACCCAATGGAGGATACAGAGAAGGCTCTGTCTTCAGAGAAGTTAGAGTCTGGGAGGAGGAGATGGCCCTTCTGAAGAAGGTTGCCCTTGTATTATTCACCCTGGTGCCAAATAATTCAAAGAACTCATTTTTCCACAATAAAATAGCAGCAGTGGTGGCCCTTAGGCTTCCTGATGCTCAATTTTCTCATCTGCAAAAAGGATAAACATAGGATCCACCTAATAGAATTTAAGCACTGTGCCCGTACAGTTAATAAGCCTTCAAAAAATGTTAGTTACTATTATTACTATGTATTTTTTAAAAAGCATATGCCATAGTAAGCATCTGTAAAAGACTAATACAATTGAATAGCATCTTATACTGATTTAAGTTCTAAAACCACAAGGAAAAAATTACACACAAAGTTATCCTTGAAAATCTCTTAAATTGTTAAAAAGTGATGATATTAAATTTAATCACTGAAGTATTTGGAATACATGGAATGCTCAGTAAGTTGGTTAAAATGTCTGTGGTTCAACTAATTCTTCATTTTATTTTCTAATAATGACTTTCTCAAAGGAGTCACCACCACAAATCCACCAATTGCACTTTGTCAAATGGTACGGAAATTCAAAAAATCACTTCACACATTCTTTTCAAAGCATCCCAAATCTGTACAGCACATGTCACAGTTGATAACACCCACTGGTCTCAGAACATTGACTGTGGAATTCACCTGGTTAAGAATGGTAGGATTCGGCATCATTGTCAATTCTACGACAAAGACCATTAAGAGCTGTTGACAGGGATTCCTTACACTTCTAAACTACTTTAATATATTTCTAGGATACAATGTAATTCTTAAGAAGGTCCTAGTTACTATTTGATTCCATAATAAACCTTGAGAAGTCATAAGGTTACTAACTACAGCCAGGATCACAATTAAATTGGATTACATTTTAAAATCCTCCAGAGATGGCATTTCTAGTCATATTCCCTGGGTTAATAAAATGTTACCCATTCTAAATATCAAGAAATATTTATTTCCTGAAATGTTGAAGTGCTAAGGAAGTAGAGAATAGTGAAAAGATTATGGACTTTGGAGTCTGATAAATTCTAGTCAAGGCTGGGCATGATGGCTTACTCCTGTGATCTCCAGCACTCTGGAAGGCTGAGGTGGGAGGACTGCTTGAGCCTAGACAACATAGTGAGACATCTCTCTATACAAAATTTAAAAATTAGCCAAGCATGGTGGTACGTGCCCTTAGACCCAGCTACTCAGGAGTTTGAGGGGAGGATTGCCTGAGCCCAGGAGGTTGAGGCTGTGGTGAGCCATGATCATGCCACTGCACTCTAGCCTGGGTAACAAGTGAGATCCCAACTCAAAAAAATTAAAAAATCTGAGTCAGATGTGGACCCTACCTCTTACAAGTTCTGTATAACTTGGGCAAATTAATTAATATCTTTGAGATGGTGATAATGTCAGGGTGCCTCTGAGTGTTATTGTGAATAGCAGAGTTAATGTAAGTAATACACCAAATAACATAATAGTTTTGTTAAAATGCTATCACTGAAATAGTCTGGTCTTTGGTTGACTGAGCAATAACTGTTAAACTTGATTCAAGCCTTCTTTGAACTCTTACCTTTAGTAAGCAGAACTGTTAATGATTGTAGATAAGAGATGCAGTGAGCTATGATCATTCCAACTGCACTCCGGCTTGGGTGACAGTGAAATTCTGTTTCAAACAAAAACTCAAACCACCAATAACAGCGGTAGCAAAGGTTTGGGGATCTAGCATTAAATGCCAAAATGCAAATTCATGTGACTTATTTCATCTTATTTAGATTTTGGCATAATTTAGTAATACGCCTATTAATCAGAGACCGAACGAAAGAAACAACCTTTTGACTAAGTCTTTTCTCCTTCACATTTAAAATACATTCCTGGCCAGGTGCAGTGGCTCATGCCTGTAATACCAGCACTTTGGGAGATTAAGTTAGGAGGATTACTTGAGCCCAGGAGTTCGAGACCAGCCTAGGCAACACAGTGAAAACTCGTCTCTTCAAAAAAATTAGCTGAGTGTGGTGGTGCACGCCTATAGTCCCAGCTACTTGGGAGGCTGAGGCAAAGGATCACCTGAGCCCAGGAGGTCAGGGCTACAGTGAACTATAATCAAGCCACTGCATTCCAAAAAGGGCAACACAGTGAGACTCTCTCTGACTCAAGTAATAATAATGATAATAATAAAATACATTTCTTTGTCATAAATCCCACAAATTATTTTATTGTGTACAAATTGCTAAAAGGACAGTGTGTTAAATTTGAGAGTGAGTAGCCTTAAAATAAATCAATTTGTTTTAAATCCCAGGTTGGAACCAGAAATTAGCCACAGTTTCATCGAATCCTCGACCACTTAATTCACTGCCAGAGCTATACTGTGATGAAAGAGAGAATCGGCTTTGAAGGAAATGCTTTTAAACTAAAATAACCATGGCATTCAAACAAAATAATGTTTGGCATTCTTAGGCGATTCTTTTAGGATAAGTTAATGGTAGTAGAACTACTTTAAATTTAAGTGTGTATACAGACGGGAATAATCCTAAAATATTTATATGTTGCACATTCTTTTTAGATTAAGTCGGTCAGCCTGGAACAGGGAATCAAGACCCAGTCTTAAGAGAACTTGTCATGCATTTTTAGCCCTATCACCAGTCTTGCTGCTGATGTTGACAAACCATCTTACATTCAGTCCAATGGTTATACACAGGACAGCACAATAATCTAACTGCATCTGTTCAATAACTGCATTACTGTTGGGAAAAATAAAAAAAACCTTGGGACATAGTCAAGGAGGATTAGGTGAAAGTCTTTATACAGGAGAGTTAACACCCCTATCTTGGCAGGAAGAAAACCTGACAACTAGGCATCACCTCCTTAGGCAAAAAGCTAGAGGTCTTCTCTAAAGAAAGAAAATGATCCCAAATAAAAGATTCTTATATTCTGGCTGCTAAGGATTACTCCGCCCCCCAACAGCATATTCACCCCAAAGTAAGGCCTATCAGTTAATAAATGTCCCCTAATAACTCAGTTTCATGTAGTGTTCCATTGCCTTAGTCTTATGTGAAGGGGCAGCCAACCACTGATCGCTAGGTATTTGAAAAAATAATGCAACATAAAAAAGGCCAAAATAAAAAGATGAAATGAGGAAACAGAATTCAAAAAACACAAAGAACATAAATCAAGCTAATAAAATCACTGTATTAGTTAGGGTTCTCCAGATAAACAGAATCTATTTATTTTAATGCATTGGTTCAAGTGATTATGGAGGCTGAGAAGCTGCATGATCTGCCATATGCAAGCTGGAAGCCCATGAAAGCTGGTGGTGTCATTCTAGTCCAAGTTTGGAGGCCCAAGAACTAGTAGTGCTGATGTCAAAGGACAGGAGAAGATGGATGTCTCAGCTCAAGCAGAGAAAGTAAATTTACCTTTTCACTTTTTTGTTCAATTCAGGCACTCAATGAATTGGATGATGCCCACTCATGTTTTGGTGATGGCAATCTTCTTTACTCAGTCTACTAATTCCAATGCTAATCTTGTCCAGAAATCCTTTCACAGACACACTCAGAAATAATGTTTTGCCAGCTGGTTCAGGCATCCCTTGGCCCAGGTCAAGTTGACAAATAAAATTAACCATTAGAAGTCCACCCTTTGTCAACTTGGCACCCATATGCATCTTCTTAAACCATACTTCATTTCTAAATAAAGACAGTAACAATATCACAATTCTGCCAAACATGATATAAATATCATGTGTACAAACAAAAAAGAGGTAAAATCCTTGAATGATGTTAACTCTTTTTCTGATATCCTATAACTTAAATACTATGATGTAAAATTAATAACACTAAAATACTAGATATAAAGTCAATATATCTTATGTTATATGACAAGGAAATAGGAAAGAAATAGATTTTTTGCTTAAAATATGTATATATACACATAAACATATTCAAAACAAATGAGGATATATGACAACTACAGTCCTCATTTCTGTGCCTGGTCACATGGTTGTAGCTGGTATTTATAACTGGCTTTTTCCGCTGTCCATTTTGCATCCCTTTTTGCCTTTGACAAACAACTCAGTGGGTCACTTTTTACCTGGCAGAGTGGCCTAAACCTCCATTCCTGAAGGATGCTGGGGTTCCTCTTACAAATTTATTTCTCAAAGTATTGGTGAAAGATGTGTCTTCTGGACCTTCCCAGGGTGAGTGAGTAGGTCTGAAACTATAAAACCACTCAAACATTCCAATCTCCCTAAGCCTTTGAATCCTTTCATCTATATTAAATCAAGACAGACTGGGCATTTCCAGTATTCTCACAGTGAGCCATCTTTTGATCCACATCTCAGACAACCAAACATTTAGTCTTTTCTAACTCTCTGAGCTGCAAGATTAAATGCAGAATCTCTGCTTAGTGAGCCGTAACAATACATTTGGCCTGATTCAACTTTAAATTCCTTCCGTCATTATCCCACATCCTTAATGTCCATTCCTACACATGTTCTCCAGATTTCTGCTCGTATAAATTAAAAACCGAAGTAGTTTTTTTGGAGTATTTTTGGAGTATAGCACATCTCCTTATGGGTCACACTTTTCACCTCACCTTTAAAGGCCTGCTGGGACTTGAGCCTAGTTATAAGCTGAAACAAAGTGAGGTGGTCAAGGTGAGACCTGAGGAGCATCAGCAGCCTTTGATGGCAACTGCTTCAGGGGAGGCTGTTACCACTTCCTTAGGTTAATTCTCGTGGAGGTGGGAAGGTTGAGTGGGGAGGCCACTATCAGTGGGAGTGGGGATGCTGCCGACACTGGGGTTTGGAAGGCCACTTCCACTGAGCTGGAGAGACCAATGGCAAAGAAGAATCATCAGAATTTAGGGGCTCAATGTCCCCAGCCGTATTCTGGTTTTTCACACATCCGCATCCCAACTTACAGACTCCCACTGCTTCCTAATTAATGACCTCACTTTACCAGTAGACAAACACCCTGTGAGGTTGGAAGTTCAACATGCATTGTAATTCAGTCAATCACAGGATGCGGTTCTGCATTCGATTATCAGTAATCTTGGTGACACTGGGAGCAACCTTAGTTTTCAAAAAATGTTTAAAAGTACTTAATACAGAAAAACCTGAATTCCTTGCTTATGAGTGGTTGATTAGGAGTATCCAATGCAGACATTTTGCCTGTCTCTATAAACCACTCATGCCATGTACTATCAGAGCTCTCCTACTGGATACAGAGTCGTAAGCATCATTGAATCTAAGCAAAATTTCAGAAATCCCAGAACCAATTCAGAAAACATCCTTAAAATTCTCTTCTTTTAGTACCATTCTCGATACCTAAATTTGTATTCATTAGTATTCTTCAAAGAAATAAAGCCAGTAGGATGTACATAGATAGATATATACAAAATTTATTATGAGGGATGGCTCATCTAATTATGGAGTCTGAGAGGTCCCACAATCTGCCATCTGCAGACTGGAGGCCCAGAGAAGCTAGTGATGTAGTTCCAGCTAACCCCTGAGAACCAAGGTGAGCCAATGATCTAAGTTCTAGTTCAAATCCAAAGGTTGGAGAAGACGAAGTCTCAGCTCAAGCAAAGAGTAAATCTGCCCTTCCTCAACCTTTTTGTTCTGCTTGGGACCTCGACAGATTGGGTGATGCCCACCCATATTGGTGAGGGTGGCCTTTATTCAGTCTACTGATTCAAACGCTAATCTCACATCTAGGCATAGAAGGAACATACCTCAAAATAATGAGTGCCATCTACATAGCCCACAGTCAGCATATGCTAAACGGACAGAAACTGGAAACATTTCCCCTGAAAATCAGAACAAGACAAAGTAGCCCACTCTCAACCCCTCTTGTTCAACATTGTGTTAGAAGTTCTAGCTAGAGCAATCAGACAAGATAAAGAAATCAGGAGTATCCAAATAGGAAAAGAGGAAGTTAAGTTATCCCTCTTTGCTGATGATATATATGATCCTATACCTCGAAAACCCAAGCGAATCTGTCAAAAAACTGCTTTCACTGATAAAGGACTTTGGCAGTCTTGGGGTATAAAATAAATGTGCAAAAGACAGTTGCATTCTTATACACCAACAACAAGCAGGCAGAGAACCAAATAAAAAGCACAATAGCCATCAAACAAATGAAATACCTAAGCATCTTCCTTACCAGAGAAGTGAAAGAACTTTACAATGAAAACTACAAAACACTGCTCAAAGAAATCCAAGAAGACATAAACAAATGGAAAAATAATCCATGCTCATGACTGGAAGAATCGACATTGTTAATATGTCCATCCTACCAAAGGCAATCTGCAGATTCAAAGCAATACCCATTAAACTACCATTATTCTTCTCAGACCTGGAAATGACAATACAGAAATTCATATGGATTAACCATGAATAACCAAAACAATCCTCAGCAAAAGAAGGCATCACACTTCCATACTTTAAACTTTACTATAAGACTACAATAATCAAAACAACATGGTTTTGGTACAAGAATAGGCATAAGGACCAATGGAACAGGATAGAGATTCCAGAAGCAAAACCTCAATTTCTCAACCAACTCATCTTTGACAAAGCCTCCACCAACAACCACTGGAGAAAGGAGAACGTATTCAGTAAACGGTGCTGGGAAAACTGGCTGACCACATGCAGGAGACTGAAATAGGACTCCTACCTACTATCACCATATACAAAAATCAGCTCTAAATGGATCAAAGACCTAAATGTAAAACCTCAAACTATAAGAACCTTAGAAAATGTAAGAAACACCTTTATGGAAATTGGAACTGGCAACCAATTCCTGATCAAAACCCCAAGTGCTCATGCCATAAAAGAAAAGATAGACAAGTGGGACCTTATCAAACTGAAAAGCTTCTGCAAAGCAAAAGAAACCATCAAGAGACTGGGGAGACAACCCACAGAATGGGAAAAAAATTATTTGCCAACTGAATATCTGATAAAGATCCTAACATCTAGGATCTACAAGGAACTCAAACATGCCAAAACAAAACAAAACAGCCCCAATAAAAAGTAGGCAAAAGACATGAATAGACACTTCTCAAAAGAAGATATTTGGGCAGCCAACAGACACATGAAAAAGCTTCACTAATCATCAGAGAAATACCAATCAAAGCCACATTGAGATACCACCTAACCCTGGTAAGAATGGCCATCATTAATAAAACAACAGAAGATGGCAAGGATGTGGAGAAAAAGGAACGCTTCTATACTGCCGGTGGGAATGCAAACTAGTGCAACCTCTTTGGAAAACAGTGTGGTGATTTCTAAAAGAACTAGACACTGATTTTCCATATGACCCAGCAATCCCTCTACTGGGACTATACCTGGAAGAACTCAAATCATTCTACAAAAAAGACAACTGCACACACATGTTTATTGCAACACTATTCACAATAGCAAAAACATGAAACCAAT